ATTATAATACGCATTTAAGCAAATGAATATAATATATGGCACCATAAAGATATGGTACCATAAATGTTATTATGTATAAATTTTTGAACTTAAACAACTAAACCTACTTAACTAAAAATTAATTATAAATCAAGTTTAAGTATTATTGAGACATATTGAAGTTATAACCGGCTATGATGGTGAATCTTGCAATTTACAGAAAAAGCTTTTTACAGATAAATTGCAAACTAATTCATTATATCGATAACTAAATTACTACTTGAGAACATTTAAATTATCATGTTATTTGTGCTTTCTGAAAATTGTGTTTCTATCCAAATTGGATATGTAAGGAATTCCCATAGGGAATATCACCTTTCCTAAATTATTTTTATATAAAATATTTAACCGTAGCGAAAATATTTTTCAGTGGTTGTCTAATCTATTGTAAATTTTATTTATATTATTTTCATTTATTAAAATTAATAGGCATATTTCTTAATAATTATTTACAAAATAAATTAATTATTTTCTAATTAATTTTATTAATAATTAATACCTTTGTTTCTTTATTTTCTAAGTAGTTACATACTTTATCTTTAATTTATATTTATATTAAAATATGTTTCCCATAATAATTGTTAGTTAATTGTTTGCTTCAAATTCTCAATTATTCATTTTCTTTAATAAAGCGAAATAACTATATGATGAATTCACGATCTGAAAATATTAAAAATTAATAAAGTTTTAATATTTGTTAATGTAAAAGGTTGGAAAATTATTTTTGTGATGATAATCTTTAAACTATTTAAAAAAATTTTAATATTGATATAGAAGAAGCGAATTCACAATACTGTGAATTGCAATTTATAAAGCAAAATTAAAGAAACGAAGATTTCAAAATATTTTATATATTTTATAATGCTTAAGAAATTAATAGTAAATATAAAAGTTATTGCTTATGTATTTTTTTTTTTTTTCAGTGTAAATAGAATTCTTTTGATACCCAGCCAACATTAAACAGCATGGAATAATCAAAATATCATCGCGCTATTATTGAAATTAATCGTAGATACGTTTCTGAATTCATCACAGAATAATGTTTGATCTCAAGTACTTGACCCAATAACCGAAATTGATTAACAATGGCTATTTCATTTGCGATAACTCCAACAAATCGCGTTAATATGCTAACTATTCCGCGGTATAATCGATGATATTTGTTTGGCGAACGCTCTTTTTTAAAGATCCTTTAAAGATGGCTAAGTAAATTGTAATATTGCTGTTATATATGTTACTATGTACTATACCACAATAACGTTTGACACCAATTTTTAATTTACTTACCGATGTAAACATATTCAAATTAAATGAATAACATCGATTCACTGTTCTAATATGGATGGGCGTATTGAAACGCAACATCATCAGCAATGCCAATTTTTTATTGGAATGATTCCAAGCTATCCAATTCGATTTGTAGACCGCATAAGACAGTTCGCCACTGCATATAGAAAGTTCATTAGGATAATAGCATATAATAAATATTTGAGTCATCATGCAGATATGATAGGTAACGAAGCTTGATACTTCAAAGCCCTTTAAAATCTATAAAAAACAGAAATAATTTAGGAAATAAGTTTAACTTGAGATGAGATAATGGTATAGCTAACAGTGGTCATGGCATAAAAGTTAGCAATGAGCACAAGTACTGAGCAGAATATTTGTATTGAAAATTGTTTTGTGATGTGACTCTCCATTGTTTCTGCCAGATCCAATAGCTTTCCATATAACCGCATACAGTCCTTCAACTGATAGGTAATTACTTCGTCAAAATTAGTATTTTTACCAATATTCTCTAGGCGATAAGCTAATATATCGATTTGTCCTTTAATGTAGATAAAAAATGATGCAGCTAAAGAATCAAAGGCTATATTTGTAAGACAACGAAGAGAAATTGAAATAAACTGATAGATATATGCGACTATGAAATGCCATCTGATGGTCAAATCAAATGGGTTATATGTGGAAAGTGGTAAATTTCCCGGATCGAAAATCGCTTGAAAACACATTAAAGTCAATAGAGCCATAATCGATAAAGTTGCGTATTTATTTCGCATTGAACGACATCTTTCCACTGTAAGCATATAGATACGATGTTCCTCTGCATCCAATGGTAAAAACTCCTTATTATACATGGATTCAAAAACTGAAGTATACGATCGATTAAAAATTCGTACGGATACAAATTTCGCCAATGCACTTAAATTTGTTGCAAATATAAAGAAAACCTTTATTATTTCCGTCAGGCTGTTAATGTTACTGAGTAAATGAATGGACAATCCAATATCCATTGGTATCCACCATATCAACAACAGATGCCAAAACTGTATAGAATTTAGTAGATGATAGCGTTTTTGAGCATTTTCCGGAAACTTTAACACAGCAAAAAATTTGAAAATTTTAAATTGCATTTGGTAAAAAGTTTTTATTGACAAGTCTTTATTAAGGCTTAAAACCATTTTAGAAATGTTTTTAAAACAATTACGAGGTTTTCAGAATACTCAAGTAGGAGTTACGACTGCTTACTTTTATATCTAACGGTTTCAACATATAATTAATTGTCTTGCTTAATGAAATCATAGAATCCATTAATTAAAAATGCTAAGTGAAAGCAATTAAATATGAATTACAAAATAATTTGTGAACATCCCTTTCAATTAGAGGGTTTAGTATTTTCTGAAACAAGAATGTCAAGGAGGAATTTTAAATTCAAATCCATTAAAATTTAAACGTGTTGTGTATTTGTGCACAGTCCCATTTAATAATTGTGACTCGTGTAATCTGTTTGGTAACAGTTAAAAATAACTTTTCTAATAACTTTGCACAGAATTAATGAATTATTCACTAAATGGGTTTTTAATAATCGAAGTTCGAAGATAATTGATTATAAAACGTTCAAATTTTGTTTAAAAAAAGGGCGTTTGTAATTATCGAGTATAAAAAGCCAAAAAGTTATATATTTCATACAAAAATCAAGATAAAGTTTTTCCGGATGACACGAAATCATAAAAATTAAATTCTGTTAAGAGTAAATCATGAGAAAAATGTACTTAAATAATTAAGAAAAAAAGATTTATTATTAATAAAAATGTTTATCTGCCCAATTATGTTTTATTATCCAAATTATTAAGCATTCTCATTATACAAAATTTTTACTGATCACTAAGAGATTTTATTTTTTTTAAGCCCGGTGTGCACTTGCGGTAAAAACCTTTTATACTGGATTCACACAAGATTTTTGTTTGTAATTTTAGCTGTTAATTTTTGTTGCTTTCAATGCAAAATAACCATTTTTGACAGCTAAAATTATAAACAAAACGCTCGTGTGAGTCCAATTTTAGCTTGCTCACTTGGCATCGCGAGCACTCTTAAGGAACTGAATCCCACCGAAATAAATAGGAAGAAAGCTCCTTCGAAGATAATATCTGGCCACGAGCCTGGCTTATAGTAAAATGAAATAAGAATTTATGAGGAGAATACTCGTTTGTCAATTGAAATTTTGTTACCAACGACTAAAGTAAATGAAAATTTCAATATTCAATATAATATTAATGCATTTACAGATAATTTAATTACAATAAAATCATTTCTATCAACGGAATTTAAAATAGAATATTCTATCTATCTCTTAATCTATATCTACATTAGCTATAATTAGTTAAGATTTATGTATATATTCTCTCTTGTTCAGTAACAAACAGAAAGTTTTATTTTCAAAAAATTCGACATTATTACTTATTTACATTCTAACATAAAAATCTGGCAAAATTCTAATTCGCGTATACCAGAAATTAATGTGACCTGTTTAGAGATTACATGACTAGTTACATAATTCGCCTGTCGATGTTCTCGTTTCTAGCATCCTTCCATATCTCTGAGGTGCTACAAGCTTTTCCGATATATTTCATTGTACTTCATTGAACTGCATTCAGTAGCTCCGGCCATTGATCTTTATACCGCGGTTTTCATGATCGCCGTGTTAAATAGAGTATGTAAAGTGATGACTATGTTTGCGCAATAACCTTTTCACCTTCATTACCAATCTTTTCTTATGTACCTTGTTGTCCATGGTCTTTGACTCAGATAAATTCAATTTTCTATTACTAAATCTTATTCTCCACTGATCACTCAAATAAGCTTCTCAATCGATACTTTTTACCAACAGGAAAAATAAAAACAAACTAACAAAAATTAAATATAATTAAAGTTTACAATATCGTTTTTAGAACGTTGTGATTTTTCTACATTGGAATATTCTTGTGAATACTTTCTATAGTTGCTAAATGGTTGCAAATAAAGTACTCTTGATCTATTAAATAAACAAAAGTTATATATAATGTTAATTAATATAAATACGCTTTGATGGTGTATTACATTTAAAAAACGTACGATAATTT